GGCGGCTGAGCTGCCTTGCATTGATATATCCACATGGTAGGAAAAAATTAGATGAAGCACAGTCCTTAAAATTTCACTGACCAAGCTAACAAAACTATAGTTGAAGAAAATAAAATGCTGTACTGGGTGGGACAGGGGTTTGTTGATTAGCACAGCTGCCTTTCAGTTATGAGGCTTTGGGTTTGATTCCAGCAAGGGGAGATTTCTGTGTGGAGTTTGCATGGTTTCCTGTGGCTGTGTGGGTTTTGTCTAAGTGGTCTGATCTCTTCCCTCAGTCTTAAAATGTGCTTAATGATTAAGTGACATCTCAAAATTGTCTTTCATACACATGTGTGTGTACTGTGATGGATGTCCCTGTTCAAAATGTATATCGCCTTGTAGCCACTGTCTTTGAGCTCACTTGAACCCTGTACTGGTCTAATTGATGCTGATAATGTATGAATGGATGCACTACTCAAGGCCAGTTTACTATAGAAATTGCAATGTTCAGAGAAACAACTTTATTGCTATATGACTCCTCAAAAGGCCAAAGCAACTCTTTAAATATTTAAGTTGCTTTAAAAAGATTCTGCATTAGGACAGCTGTAGGGGGATTAATTAAAACAAACGTTTAGGTAAATCTTAGCTTTATCATAACACAAACTATGTGGACTCCCAAACCATTCCATTTATTCTTGAAGGAACACATTTTTTTGTTGGAAATACAACTAATGAAACGTTCCCCTGCCTTCTTTGCTAAGAACATATTACATGACCATTTTTATTTTCTAATTGCATTGCATTCATTATAATTGCATCATGATACTGCATCATTTTATGACACTATTAGTCACTCATTCTTAGGTAGTTGTATTGAAGCAGTTGCCATGACAACTGAGCCTGGACCTGATTAAAAGCACATCATTTATCCATGGCTAGGGTAGTTTGCTACCAATGATGCACATAGTGGTTATTGAAATAGGGTTAATGAGATTTAATTAATTGAACTGACAATTATAAATAAATACAACAGGGATTCTATTAAGGCCATCAGTGATTTTCTTTTTAATTAGAGATTTCAAAACTGCACTTCAGCAGTCTTTCTGTGTCCATTCATTTACCATAGAGTATAGGTGCTTTATACACCGGTGTATTTTCATGTTTAAAATCTACCTGGAAAAAATTGGAACCTTTTCATTTTATGCTTCATCATCTTGATGTTCTGATAGAAGACATTTGCAGATTACTTACAATTAATTCTAACATCTATTAACAAAATGAATCAGTTCCAAAACATACATATTATAAACCTTAATTGTCCTGTCTAATCTGTTGTGAATTACTTTTCCCACTGTATATTGGAAATGCTATACTTAAAGGTTTGGATCGATAAGTTCAGAAAGAAGGATGTTAAATGTTTAATAAATTTTAAACATTCCCTTATAGCTGTCCTGGGATCATTTTTCTTCTTTTTTCTATATGTACATCTGTAGAATTGCCTTAATGGAGATTCAATTACTGTTAATGTACATCTAAATTCAGAATGCTGTAATATAATGTATGCTTTACAACTTAAAAGACTAATTTCAAGTGTATTAATCTAATCTATAAAGCAAACAACAGTGGGTTGCCACGTTTATTCAGAATTAGGTTATTTTTCCATGACATAAGGGATTTATTTTTTATTTATTGCATGCCTTATAAGAGGCACACAGTGTAGTGGTTAGCATTGCTGCCTCACACTGCTGGGGCCCTGTGTTCTGTTCCTGGGGTGTTAACTGGACTTTGCATGGTCTCCACATGTGCGTATGGGTTTCCTTCAGGTGCTCTGTTGTCCTTCCACAGTCCGAAGACATACTGATAGGTTAATCGACTTCCGGGAGAAAAAAGCCCTGGTGAGAGTATGTTTCCTTGTTTGTGTTAGTGTCTGTGTGGGTTTTGTGACAGACTGGAGTCCTATCCAGGGTGTGTCCTGCCTTGTGCCCACTGCTTGCCAACACCCTGTACTGGACCATGTACAGTTAGAAAATGGATAGACGCCTTAAACATGACTTACTGCATTTTGTTCAAAACAAAAGTGTCTGTATGGCAAGAACATGAACTACTGTATTTTAAAACCAGAAGTGAAGGTACTTCAGTAATAGGTAACAATCATCTGCTCTGACCGTTTTTCACATTTGATCAATTTTGGTATCAACCTGATCGGTGCTCATTGTATACATCCTGTTCTACTGTTGCTGTCAGCCTGTCACAGTTATTGCTTCCTGATTACTGTGTTCCATTCTGATGATGATTAAATCTTCTTCAATTTCCCTTGTCAATGACTTCTACTTCTTGTGAAAATGAAAAATGTTCTGCTGATGCATAGTAATAAATTAGATTTGAAGAAATTCAGTTTAAAACGTTTTTTTAAAATCTCCTTAACACGTCTTTCAGACCAGACTTAGCATAATATCTAAACAAATTAACTTAAAATTAAATTATTTTGGGGTTTTTAAATTATATCCTCGAGTTAAATGATTATACTGTTTTCTGATGGTTTTCATTTTATTTTGTCAAAAGACCACATGATCTGAACCCATTCTTAAATACATTAGCACATGCAAAGGGAAATGTAGAGACCTACAGTATCTTGACTGTCAATCTGCAAGATTTCAGAACAGTTTTTGATAGATAAAAATACTGCAATTCTAAATTACATAAAGCAGATGAAGAAGAAAAGTAGTAAATTAGTTAAAAAGTTAAGAATTACAGTACATCCTATAATGTTCCTGTACATTAGAAGATTTCAGTGTTAATGGTGGATGTTTGATTATCCAGTGATTCATCAGATTAGATGTCAAGGAGTAAGAGGCACTTTATGAGAGATGAGGATAAGACCTTGTGGGTTATATTTATTCTCTTGCCTTCCATCTCCTCTGAAGAATGAGTACAAGTGGAGTGTTTCAAAAATCATACAGTATTTAGCAAAACCTTGTCCTCTGGTACCTAAGGTGTTCTAACTAACCAAAACAAATATTTATCCATTTATATTCTAATCAAATATTATTTTGTTCAATAAGATGTTCTATCCACATACTGTATCTGGTCCCAGTGTCCAGAAACAACATCACCCAGAGGCAGACCAGTGATTTTGGAACTGCTTACAACAATAATTCAGTGGATTCAAATAAAATCTTAACTATACAGTACCACAAAATTTACTACTGGAAGGCTGAGTTCCTACTGGTGACTGGTAACATTTAAAAGTAAAGAGGGTAATTTGTATTGTATTCTGCATTTAATTAAGAGCTGAGAAAATAAAGTTAAAATCCAATAGAAATGATTTTTAGCAGATTTCTACTTTATAGGTGATCTATAAGAAAAAAGGAGGAGTTAGGTTCAGTTTAAATTGCCACAATTTCTACTACAGAGATATACATTACCAGGGAAAGTCAAACCTCATCTTTTATCACTCACTTGTGCCCCCAGTAATCCCCCTGCAGGTTAGTAGGACATCACCATGTGTACTCCTTAAACCTAAATATAGTGAAGGTGATGTGACATCTACTGTAACAAGGCCTTTAGAGCCACTATTGCAGCTTAGTACAGGGGACTGCAGGATCACTTAAGCAATCAATGCAGCTATGACCCCAAGGCACCAGTGACTACTCAGTGATGACACCACAAACCACACTGTTCAAGCACTGCCATACACTGTTTGTACTCCTCTGTAGAAGTTCTAATTTCACAAAACCTTTGCATTTAGAAGGTGCAAAATGTCTTAGTTTTATGCAATATTTCATGTGCATTTGTATTCTTAGCTATACTGTAGAAGGCTTTTGTATAATCACAGGAAGCTCAGGCAAACATGTGAGGACCGTAATAACATTGAATACTAACGTAGAACAGGAGTTTCTGCCCTATACAATTTCATCTCTCTTTCAATCTCAATCTTTCTGTTTTTATCTGCATAACAATTAACCCCCATTAAGAAAAACTGGGAAACCATATCACAAATGAAAAAAAGACTGAATAATAAAGAGAAAGGTGTAAAAATAAATAATGAGAATGAAACAGATCTTTTTATTTTCATATGAATGGACAGAAACCAAAATGAGCTTTAAAAAAAAGCACACAATGTTCAATCCAAAATATTACACACTGGACAATTCTCTTTCACAGCAAACCATCAAGCAGGACAAAGGTTAAAATTCAAGACTATTCATCAGAGTTGAAATATGAAGGATGCCTGGGATGAAAATGAGATGCTAAATATTGCATGGCCCCCTAGACAGGTGAAGAGAGTTATTGCTTTTCGGGAACATAAATTAGAAATAATCTTGAAGTACTTCATGACAATCTCTACAAACCCATTCTTCAGGGTAACAGCAGAGGGTGATATTAGCCACATTCAGAATTAACTGCTCAAAGTCTCAATTCTAAGCAAAATAATCCTAAAATCAACTGAATTTATTTCTCCTAAGAATCATAAACTACATGCTTCTGAGAAGCAAATGCCACTGTGTGTGAAAACCATTTACATATAATTATTCATATAATGCAATTTTTAACAAATTGTAAACTTAATTTTAACTAATTTTGAATTATAAATGGAGAAACATAGCCTTACCCAGCAAAGATTACACTGATGATTGAAATGTGCTGGAGGAAATACTTACATACACAAAGTGCCCAGTGCAAACAACCCTGTTTTTCAGAATTAGGATATGATAATGATAAGAACAGTCCATCTTACAGTGTTCTTTAAATAAGGATGACGCATCTATTGTAGCATCACCTCCCTAGACACAGAAACGTGCCTGATTTGGGGATGACTACAACTGAAAACAGTCATGGTCTCAGGGGATCTATCATTCCTATGTGCATCAATAATTGATCAAAAAGATACACCTTTGAGTGAATTGCAACACTGGCACATAAAAAAGTGATTTTGAAATGTACATAAAGAAAAGCAATTCCTCAAAATGTTATAATTCTATTCTGGTGATTCACAGTTTGACGATCTCTGTGTTTCCTACCTGCATCAACAATCAGGAGAGAGCAGTCCTGATGTCAAAGAAAGACCACTTCTCTTTTCGTAAAGCTGTTTAAGGCCTGTATAAAAGAGAACAACAAAAGATTTACTGATTGTTACATTTCCAAGTTTTCCCTCAGAATATATGAGTCCAGTACATGCACAGATAATACTTTAAATGAGTCAAGTTTTTCTTGTTGTTGAAAGATCTCATCTGTGTGCCCGACAGATTTACTACCCTTTGATCAAATTTATGCCTGCAAGTAACAGTTGTAGCATGCTTATTTCCTTCACAATGCTAGATGTTAATTCCAGCCCTAAAATTGAGCTCCCTCCACTTTCTAAAAAGATTGCTTGTAAACCAATTTCCTCCCTTTGGAGCCTTTCTTTTGCATGTATAGCTAGGAAGCAATGGAAAGGTCAGATCACAGATTTAGCACTTTAATTTTAGAAATTAAATTAAACCTCATTGTCTACCTTCTGATGGCCCTTGCTAGACACAGAAAACCTCCCCAATTAACCCATACAGACATATTAGAAAACCCTCCATTATAAAAAGTTTCTCAGCAGGCCTTCAGACACATCAGATTCTCTGCAGCAACAACTTTGTTACAGGGGGCAAAAGTGAACTAAGCATAATATGAATCATCTTATTTTTGATCTTAGCAAGATTTTACCAGATGGGCTACAAAGACCAAATTACCTCCTCTATAACCTTATTATGTTTTTATCTTTCCTATTAAATGTCAAAACTTAACAATTTAAAGAGTCTAACTTAGCATGTCAGCTGAAGTGTAAAATGTTGTGGTCTTGATTTATTAATATCTTAAGAGTGTTTACATTGGTTTTACAGCTTCCTGTTTCCATGATGTTGGAAAAACCCATGTAAAACACTTCTATATTGCAAAAAAAAACATTAAGGGAAGACATTTTATTTTAGTTGCAGCATGAAAAAATGCCAATTTAAAACAATGTGCATAAACATTAGCAGACCTCAGTAAGGCCAAACACAAGCCCTTGATTAATTCACTGTGGGCTTTCCGAGCACCAGATTTCAGATGAATAAAGTTAAAGAACCCTAGCCTAACTTCCCTAAGTTGCCAAAAAAGGTATAAAAATTGCTGATGTAAGGCATTCCAACTGTTGTGAAAATAGCTTCAAGCAATGGAATAATTTTATTTCTGATATTTTCCTTTCACAAAGTATTTTTATTACTTTTATGAAAGCTGAAATGCTCTGGCAATAAAAGCATGTCTTATGCCAGACTTCAATTACAGAGTGTTTGATTTAGCACAGTTCATTCGTAAAACACCAGATGCCAAAAAAAACATGATTCAAGCGTTTTTTTCTTCTTGTTGTATGATACCTTTGTCTCTTAGTGTGAAAGGCTTAAATAAGCAGATGCACAGAAAAAAAGCTGTTTGTTTTTGATCCATATCTAATCTTTGGAGGACAGATCAGTGTTGCTGTCTCAAAGCTGTTGACTACCAGAGTTTGCATGTATCTCAAATTCTATTTTCCAGTTTGGTTCTAATGTTTTTTTCCATGTTTAAAAAAATGGTTTTTAATCAGTGTCTCTTAATTGTCTCTTAATTATGCGTGCTAAGTACTGATATTCCAGGATGTAATACTGCCTTATACCCTATGTTTCCAAGATACTGTAGGTTTCAGGAAACATATTTAATAATAATAATAATAATAATAATAATAATAATAATAATCTCCTTTCTGATAATGGATGGATGACAACAGATGCAAATAAAATTACCATGAGACCAAGAAAACACTTTTTTAAATCCTGGTTATAGGAAGCTATAAATCTAGGTTGGAGAATATCAGCAATTTCCTCTTCCAATTTGGAGTCTTCTTGCTCAGTCTCCAAATGATATTAGCCTCCACTGGCCAGGCAGGGACTTGTCTCTTGGACTCTAAAGGAAAGCTAAACAGCTCAGAAGAAAACCTGACTAGATATATGTTCCAAGGAAAACAATGGATCACTCCATCTCTTTCAAAGGCCCTAAGTCAGTGAAATAAATCTGTGCTTAAAACAAAACCCTGTAGGTCCATTATCATTATTGTTTTGATGAAGGTCATGGCAATTCAGGGCCTATCCACAAAGCACCGAGCATATGGAGCATACTGGGAGCACATAACTGCCAGAACCACAGAGCAATGCACAATTTAGAAAACTCAAAAACAAAACTTAAACTGCATACCTTCGATGAATGGGAGGGAAAATCTCCATGTGACTGTAGAGAGAGCATGCAATCTCCATGCATATGGATGCCAAGGTCAGAACCAAACAAAGGACCCTGCTTCCCATCATGTTACCGTGCCGCCCAGCACCAGTATGTGTTATAAAGGAAATTATGTCAAGTACAGGCCTCTATTTACAGCCAAGTGCACTTCTCTGGGGCTTGGCACAAAACCAACAAAAGGAAGGGTCAGGTGTTTCTACTCAAAGATTTATTGAAGGCTTAGTGTCTGAGGCGACGTTGAGCGGATGACAGTACATACCAAAGATGTTCAGCATTCTCTATCCTTTACAGCTTGGGTGTAGTTTATATGACCTCATTCTAAACCTATGGCACGGTAGTTTCCTCAGAGATTGTCAGAAGTGTAAAAATGCCTTCTAAACAGACTACAACACTGACGAGATTCTGTGACAGTGCTGCAGTGACACTGCACCACTTGTTTTATCTTTTTTTTTTTACTGAGTTGTCCAGGAATAATGTCAGCATAAAGGCAAGGACGATGCAGGCCTGCTAATTTATGTTTTTTATTAAGTCGGTCCTGCATAGGTTGGGCTCTTGCATCACTTGGCTAAGCAAGTGTTTTCCAAATTAGAGTATTCTATTTTTAAGAAAAACTTAACAAATAAGGAAAATGTCTAACTCCACTGAGACAAAAACTCCAATCAAGGAATAGCGGAAGAATATTTTTCTATTTACCAGAAACTGATTAAAACAGAAGCCAGAGTTTCTCACACAGTGCAACTGGGATATACTGTAACCACCACCTCCAGACTATCATTTCTATCACTTTTTACATCTCTGAGACTGCATACCACAAACAATTTTTAAAAATATCTTTGTGGGTGATGGAAGCCAATGAATTTACTGGTTTTCCCCAGTTTGTCTTCAAACTATAAAAATAAAAATCATATGCCAGTTATGCATGAACATTTTGATGAAAATATATAAATTCAGTAGCCTTTTTCTATTTCCATATGACTGTCAAATCACAAATAATATATATAATATTAATAATATATATTATTAATAATATATAATATATGTTTTAATCAAATGATCAAATATATGTATAGATGTATTATATAAATATAAAATTCTTTGAAGTTTCCTGTAATTTCTATACTCAAATATGACCGCAATAAGAGACATTGCTAATTCCATGCATGCCTTTTCCAGTTTCCACACTTTTCCGATACACTTTTGGGACTATGTTAACATTACCTATGTAAAAAAGTAACTCTTTAAATGCATCAAATCGGTTATAGCATCTTAAAATAAGTTGTATTTTCTTTTTTTGCTGTGCACTTTAGTTCTGTCACTACTAGTTGAAAAAGCATAAAATTAATAATACCAGCTTCAGTATTGGTTGTTTCCACTGTAGTTTTTAGATTAAGTAAATTTCATATTGCAGTAACAGTATAAGTTCTGTACCATAATGATTATTAAGAACACCATACAGTATATTTCCTAAATGTACTAAAGCACAATGTATTTTGCTCTAAAAAATGTCCTTGCTAATGTTTTTCAAGCACTGAACTGCTACCAATATTAGGAAAATAACTGAAGTTCTGGTTGCTTTTTGTATTTAATGCATATCAAAAGAAGTAAAGCAACAAAATCTACCCCTCCCCCCAAAAATCACTTATTAAGAGGTGAGATATGATCATTCAAATGCCACACCTATTTAATAAGGTTAAGATTACAAAACACTTACCCCCTGCCTTCAGGCACAGAACAGTGCCAGAGCTATGACTACAAGAATCAAATGATTCAAAAGAGAAAACTATTAAATTTAATTTACTTGAACAATTTAATTTTGTAGCTAGGATTCCAATTCTCATCTTTGATAGGCTGGAGTACAGCTGGATGGACTGAAGCTTTTTAGCAAATCACCTTTCTCAAGGATACAAGACAGTAGTAGTTGAGCTACAAAAGAAAAATTGTCACCCTATGTATGTTTTTAGAAAGAAATACAATATATAGATTTTTCATATTGATAAAATAGTTTTTGACATTATTTTATTACTGGCTGTCCATTCTTGACAGACCATGATACATTTGAGTGACTGTTACTTAAGCACTTCATCATCTCATGAAGCAGTTAATTATGCTAAATTTAACTTGTTAAATGTTAATCCAGGTGAAAACCACAAAATAAACACACAGAAAGAAATCAATGTATCAAGGAAACCACACTTTCTCCAGTAGACTCAGAAATATAGAGCCAAGTCATCTTTAGAGACTAATAGATTTCTTTGAGTGTGGCGCTACTGGGCAGAACAATTCACTAATTTCTGTATACAAGAGACTCATTGATGGTGAAGTGTGATGGCCTGAGCAGAAACATTTATTCGCTGCAGAACTCTACCTGTATTGATTGATGGCAGCCTGAGTGCATGACAATACTGTACATTGATCAAGACCTGAGACCTCACTTGCTACCCTTCCCATTTACAATAACTGCATTCATGCTGCTAGTGTACCAATAGCTTTCTGGCAAAATGAGAAAGTGGCATATGACATGGACTTACTACCCATCTGACCTGAGCCCCATAGAACATTTTTAGGATGAGCTGACATGTGCCAGGAACATGCTTCTTCAGACTGTGAAAGAGAATCCCACAAGGCACCATCTGCAACATGGTGTGAAGCATGCAATGTACACTACCAGCCTGTGACTTTCACAGACTTTCCTATAGCTGTAGTACTAATAACAAGAGCCAGTCCATTTTTTAGATGAAAATTATGCTTGCTTGAAAGATAATACAAAGCAGAGCCATTATTCATTCTTGAGCACTGTGGTAAATATTTTTCCATTAATACGGTTAGTGCATCTTAGCCTGCACTTCCACAGGATACTACCTACAGTGCTCTCTTCAATGTCATAAAGGCACATTCAGTCTCTGAGTTTCATCAGGAGAAGAGTCAAAGACTACAGACTACACCAGAGTTGTAAAGCATTATGATATGACCAGAAGGTCATTGTGCTCAGACAATAATATCTTGATCTTGTCCTTAATCCCAAGTTGCCTTCCTTCTACGTGACCTGTTCTTCTATGGTTTTCAGTGACTTTCAATGATTTAAGAAGACAGAAAATTTCCATTTCGTTGCCTGTCCTACTTTAATAACTCATTTGTGAAATACAAATTCTACAGAATGTTTCCTCTACTGTGATGTTACAGGTTCGTATATATTTAAGGCACAGCACACACACCCTCATGCACTATAAACATCAGTTTATACAGTAATAACCAAAAAAGTGAAATAAATATACAGTAGCAAGCAATGGATAAAACAGACAAAATTCCCTATTTCCCACTTTTGAAACCATTCAAAAGTTGTGAGGGTTGTGAACTTCAGCAATCATCAGGAATCCATCAGTGCCAGTCAGACTGTTTTTCACAATAATGAATGCCATTCTATTCCGTAACATAAGTTACGGCAACAAACAACTGTCTTGCCAAGAGAAAGATCTGAAAGAGTGATATGCTACAAACACTCAGACAAGACACAAAAGGAATTATTGCAGCTGTATTGCAGCAATGTGGAACAAGGGTTAGGCCTCTGGATTTGAAACTGGAAGGTTGCGGGTTAAAGGCCCAGGTGGCATGTCTGTGGAATGAGCAGGGCACATCACTAGAATGCCTAGAGAACAAATGGAAGGTGCTTTGAATAAAATAACGACTTACATAAGGTAAAAATAATGATAACTCAGTGCCAAACTGAAAACTGCAATCAATGTGATTTGGAAAAGTCTCCATTAGATGTGTCTTTTTGTACGTCTACACTTGTCTTTTATTCCTACAAGAAAATAACATCCTCTTATAAATTAGGTGCTAAAAACACACAGCAGATGGGCCAAATGGCCTCTTTTCATTGGCAAGCATTCTTGTGTACTGTAGTTTTCAGAAGCCCAGGCTTAGTAGGATCGGGATTCAGGTATTCAGTGTTGGTGCAGTTTTACTGTTAATATGACACTGCTGCACTCTTCATCAGTGTAGCTTTACAGCATTATCATTATTTATTATGGATTCAAAGGAAGCCAGAGAAACTAGGTCTCAGTTCCTCCCCGATGAAACAGTCATACCCAAACTAAAGGTCAAAGGGTTTGTGTACAGATATTCTTTAATCTGTGTCACTCAAACAAGTTGGAAGCACATACAGTTCTAAGTTAAAAGAATTTAATTGACTTACTAGAGTCTAGAACACTGAACTCACTTCCAGAATGACCACCTCACTGTTAACAGTAGACACTGAAAATTACAGCAGTTGAGAGAAAAACAAGTTTAAAGGAATTTCATAACATATAAATATTCCTTCCGCAAATGGTGATTTTAGCTTAATGAGAGAGTGGGGACGGTCTTCAAGTCTGAGCTAATCAATCACACCAGAGTGAAATAAAACACTACAGTCCCTTCCACATGATTACAAATAATACATTTTAAAACTGTATTTGAAAGACATGAAAAATTGTGAAAAGTGTTTTATTAACTGCAAATAATACACATGGAAGTCAGCTTCAACTATTCAATTTCATAATATGCTTAGCATTTCTTTATGGAGTCTAGCATTCATTCATCGAATTAAAAAACATTCTCCTATTCAAGCCAGATCCAAAATTACATACTGGACATTCCTGCAATTTGGCAACAACACATTCACCAGAAAAAGAAATCTCAAACCTGCATAGCACCTGTTGACACATCACAAGCCACCCTTTTGGAGCTACTGAAAGCCAGAAACAGCAGATCTCTGGTCGGGAATGTACAGACTAATTTTTCAAGTTAGAATCAACCAGCTGTTGGAATAAAATAATCACACTCTCCCACTTCCCGGTACACAGAATGCACTACAACAGAGGTGGGCACATTACTAAAATAAAAAGCAACTTACGATCCATTGTTTCTGTTGCATGTAAAGTACTTTGAGAAGTTACAAACTGAGCACTTGAATGAGCCCTGGATTTGGGTGCAGTAGAAAAATTTGTAAACATCAAAATATTTTATAGTATTTGACAATGGGTTCTGATGTGAAGAATGTTTGCATGTAGGTACGCAATAGAGAGAATGTTGTAAAAAAAGAAATCCTGAACTTCCCATCATGAACTTAACTTAAACTTCATTTTTTTCATTATGGATGAAAAAATAACCTTTTTATAGTAACACATTGCTTGAACAATGTCACGTTAAAAAAAAAGCATGATCCCTAACATTGCATAATACAATCCACGAACAGGAACAAATAAAACCTAAAAGGGTGACCATTTTCCTGAATGTTTTTGAAATTGGAAAACAAAACTCAATAAAACCATTAGTGGTGAAAAATGCACAATTAATAACATTGTTAAGAGCAATAATTGTTAGATAATGGAAAGTACAAGGATTCAAAAAGGTCTGTTATGTTTACAAAACTGGATATTGATTCCAGCAAAACGTGTTTTTGAGCATTTAAAAAAACAAACCATGTCAAAAGGCCGTCTCTGAAAATCTCTATCAAATGAAAACAGTTATAAACAGTATGATGTTAGCAAAAGATCTCATCTTGCAAGGCAGATAGTATCACCTGGCAGTTAAAATAATCCAAGGAATATGACAATATCAAATAAGGCTATCCATGTCCAGAGTTTGAAAGTTCAAATTTTGTTCTGTATCAAAATAGAAAACAAAAACTACACCAACATTAAGCCTCCCTTTAATGCTTTTATTTGCATGCTTTATTTGTGTCTCATGAAGACAAAACCATTTAATTAATCAAAATATTTAAATAGGTTAAATGTAGGAATTCGATACAGTAACCCTTATAAGTGATATAAATATAAATCACCCTTACAAGTAATGGGGATGATTTAAAAAAGTAAATAATACCTTTTTTCCTTAATTGTCCAAACACAGTGTATATTCCTGCACAAAAAGTGAAAAAAATAAATGAATTAGATATTGTAAGATTTTCAGGATAGAAAATAACAAATATAAACTAAAGTTCATGAACAGTAGAAATAGTATAACTAACAATAATATTGGGATACTCACCAGTTGTAGGGTTTTTACAATATCAAGTATGCTAAAAAAATTGTAAACACCCCCACTCAGAGGTGAGCATGTTGCTCTTGTCTGTTGATCGGGTCTCACAGATGTGCTGCTGGCTCAGCTGCTGTCTCTGGTCTCTAGGCAAACACAGAGCTATTCTGAGAAGCTGCCAGGAATACGTACCAATCATCACAACCCAGGCAGCCCTACAAGAACATTGGTGACTTTCCCAGTGCTTATGTGGCATCAACATTAACTTCTTGACAGGACAGACTACTACTAACTACTACAGGTTGCAAAAAATGGTCTTTTAATGTCCCCCCTCGCTTTGCATCAGAGTTAGAATTGCTTAAACGTCACAAATTGTCTTGTGGCTCTCAGTATGCCACTTTTCAGAAGAACAGATGTAGAAGAGAGTAATTAGAATTCTTCTGCTCGCTATTCTTCGGTGTACAGTGTACCGATTCATCACAGGTGAAAACAGTAGAAAATGAATCATTTTTTTGGGGAACACAAGCATAAATAGATGTTTTAATACCCAAACACTCCATTTTGGTATTGTACTTTAAAATATATATATGCCTCAATAATTTAAAAGGTATTGTCATAAGACCTCACTTAGACAAAGCTAAGCATGATTAAACTATGTTTTCTCTTTAAATTTCTTTGCGCCTTACCTACAAGACGTAAAACCTACCCTATTTGTAAAATATGGCTTACTGTGTAGCACACTCTGCATGTTATTAATTTTGGCAGGAGGTAGAATAAGTTTCATTTCATTTTGTATTTTTTCTCTGATATCTAAGAGGAAATAAAAGATCAATACCTGTAGAGAACCAATTAGTTCAGAGTACAAGGAGCCCTATTTTCTCACATCGGCCCAGCGGAGATCAGATATCTTAATGAAGCCACCATAAATGCCTCCTCCCATTCGCCGATGAAAAACAATTTAGTTTCTTAAATTACATCTCCAGAATTCTATGCTGCAACACAAAATGGTTCGACGAAACGAAAGAGGTACAACTTAAATCTACCATTTCAGAACACTTTCAGCTTACAAAATCTTTGTCAGCAATGTTTGTCCTCCTTAGAAGGAACAACTTATTTTTTCCATTACTTTAGCCTTGCCATGAAAAGACAACTTGTTCTTTTCAAGCAATGCAAAGAAAAATATATTTTTTACAACAACCAAATCAGGCAGCACCGTGGCACAGTGGTTGGTGTTGCTGCCTTGTTGTGCTAGACCCCTGGGTTCAATTCGGGACCTGAGGTGCTATCTGTGTGGAGATAGTATGGTGTCCCTGTGTTGGCCTGGGTTTCCTCCAGGTGCTCTGGTTTTCTCTCATAGTCCAAAAACAAACTGGCAGTTTAATTGGCTTCTGGGAAAATAGGCTCTGCTGTGTGTGTGTGTGTCAATGTTTGTGTCTATCTTGCGATGGACTGGCGTCCCGTCTAGGGTGTACCCCATCTTGTGTGCCTGTTGCTTGCCCGGAAAGGCTTCGCCTCCCCCACAACCCTTAATTGGATGGAGATGGAAGAAAAGTGATGAACGGATAATAACCAACTCTCACATCTTCCCTGTAATACCCTTTTATAAATTAGGTGCAGCTGGACAGCTGGAGTGTGTCGCTCTCACACAGATTAATTGGCTTACTGACTAGAACGAGAATTAGTTACATTGTTGTGCTCTCAGTGCATGGACCGTTAGGCAATTAGCTTATTGTGGCGCTCACTTCCCACTCATAGTGCTTTGCCTGAGAAAGATACAGAAACATTTAATTGCACTTTATTTCAACTGACTGCAAAACAAAACAAAAACATAATTGCCACAATGTACTTGTTTCTCTTTTTTTAATTTTCATTGTGGACTTCAAATTGTTTGTAAATGTCAATATACCTGCTATTGCCTGCATCCCAGCCCATCAACAGAACATTGAACCTCCCTGTTATACAGACCGAACCAAAAATCAGTTCATACTGTACATTTCACTTAGAGATGAGAGATAAGACTTTATTGATCCCAAAGGGAAATTGAGGCATAACTACAACATTAGGGTAATTACAAAAGTATAAAGAATGCAAAAATAAAATAAAGGTAGGAAAATATAGGTGTGTGCAAAATATGCTAATAGTCACTGTAAAACAATAAACGATGTGCAAAATCTGAGATAAAGTATATACAGATTGAAAATACCACAGTATAAACAGTCGATTAATGTCCAAAAAGTACAAAAAGTATGACTCATCTGCTCATCTATGGACTATCTGCTTAGGGTACCATTAACACAACAGATGTCTTCTAATTTGACTCTACCTTTCCACAAGAACCCAAAACTACAACATTTTTACTTAGATTTTCACTTTTTTCACAACATGTTTCTACACTTCCTTAACTAGTCAGTCTACTTTTCCAGCTCTTGCTTTGCCCCAGTTTGCTGAATGGTCAACCTCACCCCAATAACGGAAAACGTAGATTTAAAAGCAAGGTTAATAGATCAATGATCAGGGGCTCAAATATTAAAATTGCTTGCCCAGGTGTTGACTCACACTTGACTGAGCGCTGTGGAGGGTGAGGTGCAGTTAGGTGGCCAGGCGCCTATGATGTACAGTATTAAGAGGCTCGAAGGTTAGCAATCAGAGGAATTTGTCTACACGTCTGAGTACATCTGTGAAATTCACAGCTGTAAGCCGAGATGTGAAAAACATACAATTGGCTTTTTCCAAATTGTATGGGTAATGTCATGCACATAATCGTGAAACCGCCGGTGTGTGCACCCAAAGCAACTTTCTGTCCAAACTGCTACCAACTCAGCCCGTTAATCCATCAGTTACCATAGATCAGGACGGAGGTCTATACCACCGGAGTGCAATTAAAACACTTACTTACCTTGTCCACCAGTGGATATTTAAGCCTTATGATGACAGTATTCCTCGTTCTCTCACAGAGTTGTGCCTTTCATATTCTAGCGATTCTTCCTGCTTCGTTTTTTGGATCTCGCTCTCGGATTCTCCCTCGACTTTTGCTGGATTTTTCTGTCTTTGACGTGGCTTGCCTGACCATGCTTTTTAGACTATATTTGTAATTTGAACTCGGCTTGTTTCTCAGACAAATCTTTTAGATTTCCCTCTGTGTTTCCCTGTGAATCACCGTCTTCGACCCTCGCCTGTTAAACCTGCGCCGTTTACGGACAGTGTTTTACTTTTGGCTTTGTTTGCCTGAAAAACCACCTGTTTCAGCACCTCGCCTCCCGTCTCATGGCCTTTGCACTTCATCAGGCCATGAAGACAGCATTACAGTTCCAACAAACTTAACTAACCGGCGATTGGAAAAAACAGCAGTTAAAAGATGTCTTGAAAGACTTAAGGAGCGTCAATTAAGACTGTGTGCTGAAGCACAGAAAGAGTTTCTCTCTGTGGGCGGGAAGGTCGGGCATCAGTCACATAAGGTGAACTTTTAGATTTGTAAAAGAACCTGCAGCAAGGGTAGTGTGTAGAACCCACCGCTGCAGGTTGCCATCTGAGTGGGAGCCTGTATCAGCTGTACATCATCTTCAACCCCAAATTAGTAGTCTTGGGAGAGATGAGAGCTGTGCCTGATGCCAGACTTGGATACATGCCCAGCAGAGGACCCTTTCCCTCGAGAGTGGTCAGGAGCCATTCCTTCCATCCTTGAAGATCCAGCAAAAGCCATGAGGGACTAGAAATAGGCAGTGTCAGCGAACACGAGCTAGCTAGGCGAGGGAGGCAGTACATCAGGAAGGGGGCAGTCCCTTCAGAGGCACAGAAGACTGCAGATGGCTCAGGTGTCTTTCCACATAGTGATATGCAATGCAGCCTCACACCAGCTCTCAACCATCCCAGTCTTGGCCCAGTACCCTGACACACATCCAGCAGATAAAGCAGCTGAGTGATCCAGACATGGATCAGTTCACTACAGAAACCCGGGGGGGCAGCTCCATGTCTCTACTGGGATTATATATCAGGAGCTCCTTCAGGAGCTATGGCAGAGTGTGTGGTCCCAGTTCTCCCTGAGCCTTCAGAAAATGCCAGGATTCCATCCATATGATGAAACAAGGACTGTGCTGACAGGTCTACCCTGTGTTTATCCTGCAGAACTGGAGTAATATCGAGATAGAGTATCCTTGCAACAGGCCAAAAGTAAAGGAACTCTTAGAAGGCAGGCAGTGAGCCTTCCCTGCATGCCTTCCCCTTGTTCTTCTCCATAACACGATTAGCCCATGCTAGCAAAAGTCCAACCTGAATGTCTGCAACAACTGTCCCACTCTTCTGGTAGCATATCTCAGTATACCAACTGATGTCATAATGTTGAAGCCACCTTCATAAACTACAATTTAAGACAGCTGCAGGAACAGCCTGCATCATTGGTCCAGTAGGCACCCCCACCCCCTGTAGGATCTCTTTTGAGTTTTTCTTTTTGTTTCCCACATAGGCTTGGAAGAACCTACTTCAGATCCACTCTGATACAACTGTGCTTATCCAGCAAGATCAGGGCACTTTTGTCTCCCAGTCCCACTTGGCTATGTGCTCACTTATGCCAAAGACAAAGTCTGAAAGTCCACGAGAAAAGCATGCTGTGACATGATGTTGCCCCAAAGTATAACCACGAGATCATCATCATACACCAAAAAGCAGACAGACGGTCTAGGAAAGTTTGGAATGGCAGTCCTATAATGACTTTTAGCCCTGCCTGATGCCCCTCTGCACTAGAAAAGGAATGCTCATTCCCCTATTAATCCAGGCTGACAGAAAACACAACATTACATGTGTTCAACCCAATGAAAAGCCTTATCCTTACCCGGAAAGGAAATACCAGTCTGTAAGCAAAACAACCTAGGTTAGGTCCAAACATCTACTGTAGTAGTACAGGGGTGTTATGAAAAGAAAGACCTGTTGGGAACACCACACGTCTGATCTGGTAAAAATAAAGAATCAATGAATCCATGTTTCCTTTCAGAACCACCCACATGTAATGATTTCTCATCTTGCACATCCGGAAGAGGCAGAAAGATGCAGGACCTCGAGAGAGAGAGCACTTTACCCACCACCCAGCCAGCAGGTCTGATGCAAGCTTGACCCATTATCATCTCATCGGTAGTCATCAGTGTCCTTTCCTAGCTCCAAAAAAGGTTTTTATAACATCAAGGTACAGGCAGTAAGCATAACCACTGAGGCAGTGTTAAAAAATCAAAATCAATAAAAATCTGAACTAAAAGCAAAAAAAAATTGGACTCAAAACCATCAGGTTGCTATAAAAAGAACAGCTTGCCAGAATTAACATTAAAAGCAAAAAGGCTCTATGCCAAAAAAGTAATTTTTTATAGCGAATGTGTACATTGTTACCAAGAACAACAGAAGAACTGTGAATATGGCCTTAGTGAATATATAGTACTATAGTAACAGTAATGCACAAATATAAAGAATTACTCACTGGGAGTTGTGCTCATACAGGGAAAAGCACAGGTGCAGAACAAGACCATAAAGTGAAAAGTCTGAGAAGGAAACAAAAATGAAACCTCCTATAAAGATCTTATGTTTCAGAAGCTGAAGTGGTAATACACAGATCCTGTACTGTGCCATGGATATGATTCCTGTATACCAACTGCACTGCATATCTATTTTTGACTCAGCCGAATGCATGTACCTGGATTTAGATGAGTGCAAGATCAACAATTATTCTTTGGGTTTTGCCATTAGAAGGCAGCAAAGGAAGCAATTACATGTAATTTTAAAGAAGTTACATAAAAACAATTAACATCATTAATCTAAGATGTGTAGCAGGATAAAAATAATTCAAAAAAGCAGATGAAACTGAAGTCAGTTCTGAAGGAAACTTGATCAACCTGACAATAATAACTTCAAAAGAATGGAATGTTCTAAGCCAAGAAGCTTAATGTATCTTTTGTGTTTCAGATGGCAGCGGACATTTTTACATATTGCTGAACATGTATGAAAAACAGAAAGCAATCAACTGATCTGAATAAATACACAAAACAACACTTCAATAACTTCACACAGATTTGTAGGTGCTTTAATGACCGATAGTAAAAATAGGTTATACAAAGCTTGAAGGCCAAAATTATTTTTGCCAGTTAGCATTAGGTTTTATCAATGGTGTCTATATTGTCATGTACAGAAACTTTTATATACTGTTAGGCACAAAACAGTTCAAAAAGTAATAAAAGTACTTTCTTCAAATACAAAACTTCCCCTACCATCCCATGAAACCAACAAGAATATAAGATTAGCTGGTGTTTTTAATTACATCTTATTATAATTCAGATAAGAGCACTTGAAGAGGTTTTTGTGTTTACTATTCAGCATTGTAATACAAATTACCTAGTGCAACACACAGGAACAAAAAATCACCATTAATGGAAAAGGCACTTCATAACAGCCAAGAATACATTTGAGCTTCACAATACAAAACAGAAAAAAAAACATTGGCTTGCTGCTTTATGTTTTCTAAGCGTGTATTATACCACACATACATAACACTAGAGCCTCTAAATACATAACTGAGTACTACCTTTGGTAAAGGAATGTAGTATTCTAGTGTTAAACCAACAAACATTAAAACATTATCTTTGGCATTGTCCACCACAGTTGGAAATACAAAAATACTCAAAACATGGGTACTGTAGGACAATTCTATCAGTAATTTGGAATTAATATACTAATATGGTTACTGTTAAAAAAATACAGGCTTTGGAACACAACAGCATTGAGGCCATTAATGTAATAAAAACAGTGTATTTATCAATGCTGGCATGATGCTCAAATTAAAGTATAATGGTATATAACATCTTGTATGTAAAAGATATGTATACACACACGCTGAATTTAACTCCAATAACCTTTGAGAAGTCACATACATGGTCAAAATGAACAAATGTAAGACAAAATGTTGTCAGCCTTTTATGATACACATCTAAAATTGGTTGTAGACTTGTAGTGTTTTCTTCAAAAACCTGCCTTCTGTCACTTTCAAAATGAAACCCCTTGTAAAGTACCTTGTGAACATCCTAGATTTACAGGCTCGTAAATATTTATAGTATGAATCGCTACCTTTTTTAGCCCCTGTCACAACCAATATTAAGCATTTCACCTTTAATATAGTGTCATAATCAGTTTTACAATATAAAACTATACGCTTCCTAAAAATTTTACAAGTGTTAATGTACTGTACATAGTGCATTTTCTTCCATTACAATCAACTGGATTTTACCCAACCACTATATGATATGATGTCTCCTTCAAATACAGAATACATTACTGTTTAGAAGTTCACTGAATTTGAATTTATATCATTCAAAATCACATGTGCATGACCATTTCTTCACTTGTCTGTTACAAGTGATGTAGCAAAAAATACAATTGTTATAAAATGTACATTTTTATGGGAAAAATGTGTGAGGCATACAGAATTAAGAGCCTGTAAACAGTCTGATTAGTATACCACAGAATCTTTGTCAAACATTATTGAAAATGGATGGTAAACCTGGAAATAATAATAGAAATAGAAATGGGAACACTGGGTTCCTGTAATAAAAGGTATTCTCAGCATGCCTGAGTGAGTTGCAGGCATACAAAAATATGAATACCTGATACTAAGGCTCTCACAGCATTTATAAAATAATGCCAAATTAATAGTGATAGTGAGATTGCAGTTAATGTCTTAGTGTTTAGTTTTCAGTTCCTCCTTCCTATACAATACCTAAAATAGCAGTTAAGCAAAATGTGTTTGTTGTGAATAAGCATATCAATAAGTTTAGACAATAAGTCTAAACAGGACAGCTACCACTGCTCCCAGCTGAAGTCATCACTGCCGCCAAACACTAAAAAGAAGCCCAGGATTGTGAGGAAAATCACTGTGTTGCCTGCCATTACCAGTCCGCAAGCACCCCACTTGATCTGGAACACAAAGCACAATAACATCTCAACGGTCAGAAAACAAACAAGCACACTGGCAAAAATATGAATAACCATCAGTCTGCCTAAGCCCTCAAGACCCTAAAACGTTTCACAACCTATGTTGCAATGGTGCTTTCCTGACATGGAAAACAGCAGTTGCATTTCCACTGTGATTCCACTGTACAAGCTAGATGCTCATTCCTGCAGCAATTACCTTGAACGTCAAACAAACTGGGTGAATGATTTTTGATCAATTTATTCTATACACCATTTTCTTATTCTGTTAATTACCACATGGGGAGGAGTGAAATCTTACTAAAATAAAGAATATCTGGTCTCTTCTACCATTTAAAGTACTTTGTAAGCATGGGTGTTTTATGGATATACCAATACTGAGCATCAAAACAAATGTATTACTTTATAAATGAATGCATTTAGAAAAATAAAGTACACAAATATCGGACACATTAAATGTTTTCGGTATCATTTTGTTTCATCATCAGGTAATTTTAGGCAAAGCCTAGATCAAGAAGCTTGAGAAACAGGCAGGTAAAAACACCACTTATCAAGAGAACAATGGCTTATATCAAAGGCTGATGTAAGTCACCTCGGGTAGACTCAACAGCAAAGGAGCCAAATCTCTTTAGCAATGAATCAAGCAATGAATCAGTGAGTGTATATTGAGGACATGCAGAAAGACACAACTGCTGTGGACAAAAAACATACCAATGGGGTTGTCCAAGTGTGACAGCCTAGACAACTGTGTATTTGCTTCAAAACCCCATCTTTAATGGCAACCTTACTACATGGACCTACATTGGTCATGCCATGTGCCCTCACTTACTGTCCTTCCTGTGTCCTCATTCTGACGTGAACACATTCTCACAGGAAAAGCACATTCCTGTGCTGCTCATGTAAAAAACGCATTGCTACAAAATGGGAATGTGACGGATGTGCTACAGATTTGCTGCTTGCCAGACTTAACCCCAGCACTTCTGGATAAGATGGTATGACTTGTGACAAAGCTTATATGTGGTATTCTAACAGTGGTCAGTGCTACTAGCCTGTGACTTTTACAGTAGATCCCATGTTGATTAGCCTTGTCGTGTTAATAAGACAAGTGACTTACATCTGACTGTTCATTAAAATATCCATACACCTACTACAAAAAGTGTCCTTTGGCTCATGAAGTTGTTGCAGTTATAAATAATGTTTCCTTTTTTTCATGGTATACAGATATAAATAATACAGTATATTCTGTAATATTTAATATATAACATAATGCTGACTTCCTGGTATAACTGAAAAAATAACAATATCAAGAGAAGATTCACACCATGAGTTTTGTCATACTTCTACAACTACTGTATCTTGAACATTTTTTAGTTAATGATGGGTGATTGTGTTGAGGATATATCACAAAAACACAAGAATTAAACGTTTACAGTCAGGAGATCCAGAAATATTTACTTAGACCTAATGATTGTTGAAAACATAAACAATGTAAAAGAAGAAATTGTCAGTGTAGTACAGAGAATAAGATTAGGTCTGACCACCAATGCCACTACAAAAAAAAATATCAGAAGCAAGAAGGTCTGTGAAATTATATTCCCTTTGATTCTCATACAAATAAAACTTCAAGGCTACTTGAGGATTTTGAAAGAACCTTGGGTTTAAAATTGAGTCTTTAAATTTACTTTTTAAAGCAAGGAAATTACATTAGTTTCTTATTACTATTGTTTTTCTTTTATATCTCTCTTCACATCGGCACATACAAAAATAACTTTTTTGTACAAGTTAAATATGTCTTCATGCTCCTCCAAAACAAACATTTGGTGGTGTTCTACTGGCAAATGTGCTAGTGCATACATGTATTTATTACTTTATCCATCTGTAATCTAATTTGTTTTGTAAGTGAACCCTCAGGCAAGTTTTTATATTTCTATAAAGACTTCTACACATCTCCCCAGAGCTTTCATTCTGGAGATCTGCCCAAAGTCAAGCATCAGCTCCAAATCATCTTTACTCCAGGAATGCAGACATCCACTGCATTACTTAAGCCACTTGGTTTACTTAAACTGTGAGCGTGATGCAGGCTTTGTGACATCATGCCTTTGAAGAAAAGTCTGTTACATCCTGATGCCTTCTGTCAAAAATCACAGGTGTCAGTGAATAGCAGTAAAA